TCTGACCCCTGCTAAATAAAACCCCAACTCTTCCCCAAATATCCTGTGATACTCCATTTCCACTGGAAAGAATGGTCGGCCTTGTAGTCTCCATATGTCCATTCTCAAATCCTCACATAAAAGAGCCATGCACAGACTATTCTTTTTTTCTCTTTTTTGTTCTTGATCTCTCAGAGACACAAACTGTCTCCCTCTCTAAAAAAAAAAACACACAGACTCCCTCCAGTGCCGTACACAGACTGTGTGCTTGCATTCACACTCACACTGCTCACAGTCCTCTATTCCCACTATAAAGCCAGGAGACAGGTGTTGGATTAGCTTTTTGGAAGAAAAGAGCTCAGCTCCTTTGATAGGAGTTGAGCTGGCCTAGAGAGCAGGGAGGCAGGTGCACCGCGAGAAAAGAGGCAGAGAGAGAGGCAAGTGTGTGTGTGTATGTGTGTCAGAGGAAGCAGCCTAGTCATCCCATCTATTGAGAGAAGAAAAGGAGGCTTTTGGCCGTGCTAGATTCTGTAATTGGAGAGCTTGGCATGGCCAAAAGTGAAGCGTGGTTGGCCGCTGCCACGTGGTGCCATTTGTTTGCCAGCCATCCTGTCTGCACATACATATATACATGCTGTTACACACAGGGACATACACACTTAGGCAGAAGTGCAAAGTTTTGGATTCCTCCTTCTGACCAGCATTCGTATGAATCCATTTAGATTTTCTTGACAAGAATTTCAATATTTGGCATCATTTAAATTAGTTTTGACGTAATCTCTAAAAAAAAAAGAGAAAAGTAACACTATATCTTACCATGTTTATTATCATTTTTAAAACGAATTAAATAATAAATGCAGATCCAGCACAGCATCACAAACACTAACATTGCATAGATGGGATACAAACATGCACCGGCCTGGAGCTGGTAACCAGGGTGAAAGAGAAAGGTAAGGAGGCCTCTTCCACATGCTTTTGTTCTTAAGGGCATCCCTTGGAGACTATCTCCTGTATCACCATGGGGCTGCCACTCCCTCTCTTTCACATATGCTCACACGCAAGCACACACACACACACACACACACACACAGAAAGAGAGAGAGAGCTGCTGCTCTAATCCTTCAATATGAGGCTTTTTCATTTAAATGACCAATTACACAGGCACAAGAAGAAAAAGAGGAGGGGAACAGCACAAGGGGAGAGGGGAGGAATCTGAGGGGCAGATGGAAGAGTGCAAACAGAGCATGGGTGCAGTGCTGCAGCGTGTGCCATTGTGTCATTTCAGAGATCCAGATGGAACCAACCTCAGCTTGTCTACTGAGAAGCAACGAAAAGATAACCTTTGGCAGGTTAATGTTTAGTTTAAAAGTCCACCATGATAAAAATAAAGCAGTCAGGTTTTCAACATTGCTAAACATATTTCCCCTTTATCACGTGTGATACAATTAGTACCAATAATCTAGTTTTAGGGCAATGGCAAGGGAATTTTGCTTTTAATATTATTTCAGCAGGTATTTAAAAGCACAGGATGAGAATAAGTAAGCATTCCTGTTTACCCAATCGTTTTATGATAAGACAAAAATATTTTGAGGGCATTGTAGAGTCCAGGGATGGTGTCGTTGATTGCTGCTGCATTTTAGGGTTGAATAAAAAATACATTTTGTTTTTCCACAGTTTATGAGTGTCACTGGTTTAAAAAATCTATAGACGTTACAGCCCATGCAAATATTATCACATGTGACAGATTGCGCGTATATCAACCAAATCCTTTTCTTTGTGCAAAAGGTCACCTGACCTCCTAACCTTGCTTCTCCAGCACCAGTTCCACTATCTGACACTAAAAACTAATTGAGCACAGACATCAGTCATGGCTACATATTTCAACTTCTACAATTCAAAGTTAGTTTGTATCCATCATGTTGGTGCTGTTCAAGTGGCTATAATCATAATCAATCATAATCAAAATAATTGAATTAATAATTAATCTCATCCCGTGCTATCAAAGCCTTTAAAAACATTTGATATCTTTATTAATAATTAAACTCAACAGGGGTTCACCTTTTTTTTCACTTGTAATAAACTTATAATGGAATCACGGAGTCCTTAATTAGAACATCTGCAATTTCTTTCTCTGTAAACTGCAACCTGTGAACCTGGACTTGATGTTGAAACCAGCAGTGCTGGATAACTCTCAGGAAAGCCACTATTTTTCCAAACATTTTTAGTAATCCTCTCTTCAATTACTAGAAAACCACTGTGAAAGGGGTGTGTGAGAAAAAGTCTGCAGGGTTGTGATCCAACATGATTAATAGCTGTTAAGTGTGCCTCTTATGAGTGATGTTGTGCCCAGAGAGCAAAGCAGAGACTATTACAGTGCAGACTCATACATCAGTCCTGATAGACGGCTGAATGATGACCACTCAGTGCAAATGCTGGAAATGGTGCAATTAAAATATGGGGGTTGCTGTAGGATCACTACAGGGATCACCGTGCTATAGATTCAGAAACACTGTATGTGTGTATGAGTTTTTCCTGTAAGTGTGGCTGGAGCTGTGTTGTCACAAAGCTCCTACAAGTGACTTATCACTGTGATTGATATCAGGTGCCTCCTGTTTTCAGACTGACACTTTACATTCTAGGTAGCAAATTACTTAGGTCTACGCGACATGGCCAAAAACATAGTATCTGGTTTAACTGCATTTTTGTTGAAAATGACTTGGCTGTTTACCTGCATTCTAAAACCTCATGATTATTGGTCAAAAGTGTGCCTCCACAGTTTCATATGAATAAAAGAAACACTGTAACATGCTTAAGTTGAAATAACATAGGTCTACTTCTGCTTTCAGTAGATATGATTGGTGTAAGTTTTAAGATCGTGTCTTTGACTTTATAATCACACACACATTCAATGGTACTATATTGTAGGCTTGATAAAACTTTACCACCTTTTTGAACCTTTAACGTGGAAAAGGTATACCTATGGATTATGCTATATTTCCTATCCAGCATTCTATCAGACTTTACATGTTGCTATATAGTTTAATGTCTGCAAAGCTCCAACAGTGACAGCTTTGTCCAACAGAGAAAGATCACTTCCATCAAAGCAACACTTTTTAGCCCCTCCAGTCAGTGGTTTATGAAATAAAGCATGGTCCTAGTCCAAGTGGAAAGTCCAAGCTTCCAGCTCTGGAATGGCAGAATGACAAAGGGATCGATGAGATGACAAATGGACAACAATGCCAAGGCCAAGGTTCCTGAGATGGATAGATTTGGTGATCGCTCCTCTCATTTATCATAAAATATAGGAGAGGTGGGAACAGTCAATAGAGGACGGCCCGCATTTTGTGAAAGTAAAAGAAATATCATACTTTTTGTGTCACTTGAATAATTTAACTGAGCAAACTGAGTTCAAGAAATCTTGGAGCTGATCATTTAGTTTTAGATGCGTGTTTTTGTGTAGAATGATCTTGAATTAAATAAATAGAAAAGCTACAAGAAAAATGTAAGACATTTATATAAAAAACATGTGGGACATGTATGTAGCAAGCCAAAACAACTATCATTTCAGCTGTCAGTGCAGATCCGGTGATGTCCAGCAGAGGTCAGTCTTGTTAGCAGGAAGTTGATGCTAAGACAGATGCACTGAGCTACTCTGTAATACTTACAAATGGGTTGTTTTGTATTTTCAGTAATAATAAATCTGACTGTTGCACAGATTATACAACATTCTTAGAAAATATTTTGAAAAGCAAAGGTTTTTAAAAAATACTGACACGGTTTGACATTAAGTTTTTTAAAAATAGCGTAAAACATTGTGTTTCTAACAAACTGTATTTTATTTTAGAACATAAATGGAGATATAAACATTTTTCTATTGCCTGCATTAGACTTGGTTCAGTGTACATTAGGTTATTTGCTTAAAATGTACCTTTTGATTTTTAAGAACCTATACACGTTCATTATTATTGTAAAAGGTAAAATACCTTGCCTAAACAATCAAAACTACACAAAGTCATATGTGGCTTTAAACCATTCCTGATGGATAGGTAGAAGCCAACATTTTACAGAGTGCATTTCAATATACATCTTTTGACTTTAGTGATACGATAACAAGGAATTCCATTGTTTATCTAAGTCTTTTTTTAATGAACAGAAACGAAAAAATAGATGTATTGATCTGTTTAAAATTACTTTAATTTTGTTCCTATTCAGGTTCCATAAAAAAAAGAACCTGCTGTGTCTGTGAGTCACAAGTGTGTGCTATATTTGTTATCATCTGGATACGTTGGCACTCATAATGAGAGTGAGGGTGAAAGAAAAATAAATGCTTTAAAAACTGGCCTGTGGTAAACGTTATGGAAGGAAATTATTCAATACGAGCCTGGGTTAGATTTGAATGTATCTGAAAATGGTGACGATAAAACTACTCTGCTGGGTGCATGTTCAGTATTGAGGACGACCGGACTATGGAGGACATTACCAAAAGGTTCAGTTTTTCACTCAGTACTGTTCAACTAAGGAAAGGCACTAGCTTTAAACAGCTATCATATACATCTGTTGATGTGATTTTTCTTGTCACAGTGCAGCAGCAGTGTCTGCTAATGTAGGTCACACTGCCCCACCAGGCAGCCAGGTAGCATTGCCCTACATGTCAGTTATATCTGTTGTTTCTGTCTAAGCAACCTGCCAGCAAGCAAACATGCGAGAGAAATGATCAGTAAACTGTATTTTTTTAGCAACCAAGTTCCATTAGTCCACATCATCTACCTGCATCAGTGCATACAGGCAGTCTTTTGCATTAACTTCGTCACGCTTGGGATCAGCATCTCTCTGTCATAGCCGGTCACACACACAGTGTGTGAGGATGGCGTACCAATGGTATGAATGTTTTATTGTGTCTTTTCACCATGATTAATAATCCCCCAGATGCCCCCACCTCATCATCGTC